CCAGCTGTGGGCTGGAAGCAAGATGCTGTCAGGCCTCTGACAAGGTTCCCATCTGTTCAGTGTGTGTGGAAGTCAGTGGGTCTACATGCACATCTGTTCAGTGTGTGTGGGAGTCAGTGGGTCTTCATGCACATCTGTTCAGTGTGTGTGGAAGTCAGTGGGTCTACATGCACATCTGTTCACAGTGTGGAAGTCAGTGGGTGTGCATGCACATCTGTTCACAGTGTGGAAGTCAGTGGGTCTGCATGCACATCTGTTCAAAGTGTGGAAGTCAGTGGGTTATCATGAACATCTGTTCAATGTGTGGAAGTCAGCGCACCTGCATGCACATCTGTTCAGTGTGTGTGGAAGTCAGTGGGTCTGCATGCACATCTGTTCCCAGTGTGAAAGTCTGTGGGTTTGCATGCACATCTGTTCACAGTGTGGAAGTCTGTGGGTCTGCATGCACATCTGTTCAGTGTGTGTGGAAGGTCAGTGGGTCTCATGCACATCTGTTCACAGTGTGGAAGTCAGTGGGACTTCATGCACATCTGTTCACAGTGTGGAAGTCAGTGGGTCTGCATGAACATCTGTTCAGTGTGTGTGGAAGTCAGTGGGTCTCATGCACATCTGTTAAGTGTGTGTTGAGTCAGTGGGTCTGCATGCACATCTGTTCACAGTGTGGAAGTCAGTGGGTCTCATGCACATCTGTTCAGTGTGTGTGGAAGCCAGTGGGTCTGCATGCACATCTGAGGGTGAGCGCACACCGTCCTGACTGCCACCCAGACATCACAGAGGAGTTTTTCCTAAGCGATCTGAGACTAAGAGCTCTGAGACGCATTTTTCCCCATTTTGTTCCATCAGTCGAGGAAAAGCTGGAATTTAAAAGTGTGATGTAAGATTTGCTCTAAACCGTGCTGATTGTATCGGAGCATCTCTAAAAGCTGTGCTCTCCCCTCCGCAGGCTGCAGCCGGCACACCTAAGACCATCTACGCAGCGGTGGATTTGTCCAGCAGGGGC